CCTAGAACTCCGTAAGAACTTAGTGGTGCCCATCTCCACAAGTCTTGTAGAGGAACTTACGTGTTGCTGAAGAAATGAACAGAACTCAGTACTTCATAAACATGCCACAATGTCTCAGTTGTCACCTTGTCAGCTATCTCAGTACATAATCGGACAGTATTTTATTTGACTCATAATCATGGGTAGAAAGCAAACTGGAACTTAACTTTGCTAACCAACATAAAAGCAGCTGTCACTTGAAACTTCATAAAGTGACTCAAAATACATGATTCACATTTATTTTTACTGTAGTTTTTATCCTTTTGATATAAGAATAAAGCAAAAGAAGCTCAGGTAAAAAGAAAGCAAAATGACAAGACTACCATAAACTAGATGTCACACTAACCTAAAGTCCTTCCAGGCCTCTAGCTACAGTACTTAGTACTGTTCAAGTGGGCAGAAGAACTGGGTTGTTGGAAAAGTTGTGACGTGTTTTTCTATGCAAAAACGTGTCATGACTTTTCCAACAACCCAATATTTTGTGTACACAACATATCTGCAACTTACAAAGACAACATGGACTTTAAAAGTAGTATTTAATGACCTGGATAAACTAAAATAAAGACATAAACACTAATATAACTATGCACAGAACAATTTCCAATCGAAGGTCAGATCACAGCTTGTCTTACAAGGTCTAGAAACTCCTGAATGTCAGTGGAAGCAGTAAAGTTTTCTCTATGTTAACCTCGACGGCTCCTCACTTCCAAAATACACTAAAAGACAACACATAGATGGAGTAATTTGTCTCTTAGATAGTGGGAGCTCAACTTACATGGAGAATTTAAAGGTAAAAATCACATATAACCAAAATTATCGACATACTAAGTGACACTATAAGACTGAAATAAACAGAATAGATTTCCATTTTCCCTATTACGCAAAGTCGTAGGGACATCTGTATTTCCTAATTTTTTCTTTCTTCTTAAACCAAGTATATTTAGAAAAACTTGTATGAGTCAACTATGCCTACGATGAAACTCCCTGAGGTATAAGGCATCTTCAGAAAGTTCATGTAAAATGTGCATTATGGGAAACCAATGCATGGATTGCAGAATTTCTTTATACCAAAATAAACCTGCACTTTAATTCCACTTTTCCATGAACTTCTAAAAAATTAATTAATTAGTTAATTAATTATAATTTGACTAGAAAGAGATAGCATGAGAAAGAGAAAGTGACTAAGCCACAGTCCGCCAGGTCCAGGACTCAACCACAGTCGACCACATGGCAGTCCAGCGCCCTTAGCCACCACACCACCTGCCGGCCCCTCCATGAACTTTTAGAAGTACCCACATATTAGCTGTGGCTCAGTCATTTTGATGGCTTACTCCCTAGAACCTCCAACACAGGTGGGAAAGCTCTACTGAAATACCATGTAGTATCCCTGAGGTAAGACAAAGGTGCACTGTAATTACATGAATATAATCTTAGAAAAGATATTAGGGACTGAATTGTGTCCTCCCACGATTCTCATGTTATAGTGCCTTAGAACGTATTTGGAAACAGGGCTTTAAAGAGATAATTAAGATAAAATGAGGTCGTCTCCCACATCATCTAGTGGTTAGGATTCCTGGTTTTCACCCAGGTGGCCTGGGTTCAACTCCCGGTGTGGGAACGCCACCCTTGGGACCAGCAGTTAGCATAATGGCTACATTGCTGGACTCCCATTTAGTCGAATGCGGTTTGAGTCCCGGATCCGGTGGCTTAAACTCATGCCAGGCGTGTGTGTGTGTGCATGCCCATCCCCCCAGGGGGTGATTTCTCGCTTTCTATCTCTCTCTCTCTAATAAATACACGCACCCTATAGCAAAAACCTCTCCAAAAAAACAAAAACATAAAGAAGATAGAATGAGGTCATTGGGGCAGGCCGTAATCTAATCTGATTGGTTAGATTTATAAGAGGAGGAGACTAGGATGGTGAGAAGGTGGACACCTGCGAGTCAAGGAGAGAAGCCTGAGGAGAAGCAAGTCTTGCTGACTCTCTGATTTTAGACTTCTAAGACATTTCTACTGCTTAAGCCACTTCGTCTTGTGTGTTTTGTCATGCAGTTCTTTTTATTTATTTTTTTTTAAAGAGATTTTTGCCGTAGGGTGTGCATGCGCTTGCCAGTGAGACAGAAAGTGAGAAATCATCCCCAGGGGGATGGCCATGCCGCAATCCCTTCCCCCATTCTCCTCTTGGGATCTTGGGCATGCACACACGTGCTCCCTAAGAGTTTTAAGCTGCTGGATCTGGGGTTTGAATTACGGTTGATTATGGGGGAGTCCAGTGATGTAACTATTATGCTATCTGTGGGTTCCTCAGGCAGTTATTGCAAACAAAAGGAGTAATTTTTCTAGCCCCCAAGTAGCTGGAACTATGGGCTCAAAGTCTTCTAAGTTTTTTTGTTTGTGCTTATCAGTTATCTTCAGAAGAATTTAAAGCTTTAGCTTCCCACGAGGAAGGCTGGCTCAAGCAGGCAATTTTTCTAACACTCACCAAAGATGATTCAAACACTACGGTGACCTGGAATAAAGACCCTAAAGCACGTGTTGACTGGCAGAGATGGTTTCAGTGATCTTTAGTGAATGTAACAAACAATACTGAAGTGAACTAGAACTTAGCTAACAGCTTGAGGCATGAGTTGTTCTGTACAGATACACTAGAGTATATGGTGGCATTAGAAGACAGTGTCATTTATCACAGTGAAATGTTTCACTTGAGTAAAATGAATCTTACATATCACCAGTGATCTGCAAAACTTTTCACTTACCTGCTAAATGTAAAGGCGTTGAATGTCGGCCTTGGGTATCACGGCAGTTTACATTATCAGGCGAAGACAGTTTCTTCACTCTGGCTAAACAACCCTTCTTGGCAGCATCTAGCAAAGCGGCATCTCCCCTAAGCAGGTCTTGAATATCTGTATCCCCATCTTTGACAAGATCCAAAGGCGTGTTTCCATCTCTATTTTTCTTTGTAGGGTCTGCACCATGCTAAGAATGTGAAAACCAGGGAAAAAAGTGGTTTAAGAGTGCCCTTAGTCAATGGGAAAATAGTCAGCTAATTATACCAAAGAAAGTAATTTTATACTGAGACACTACCTTAAAGGTTAAACAGGATTGTTAGTAATATTTAATTTTATATAAAATCATGATAAAAACAAGTTAAATATGACTGGGCTTTTATAACGCATTAATATAGCCTCCTATTATTTTTTTAACTTTTTTTTTTTTTTTGGCTATAGGGCATGCACGCTCATCAGAGAGAGACAGAGAGGGAAAGTGGGAAATCCCTCCCTAGGGGTAATGGCCACACCACAATCTCTCATCCTCTATTTTCTTCTTGGAATTTTTGGGCAGGTATGTATACACACCTGGAGCGTTTTACAAGCCACTAGGTCTGTGACTCTAACCACGTAGTCAGTCACGTGGGACCCAGTGCTTTAATCACTGTGACACCTGAGGGCCCCATATAGCCAAAATTTTAAATCATATTCAAAATAAGATCTTATTTCAGTATATTATTTTTATTTTTCATAAACATTGAAAAAATTAAATCTATCCTCTTGTTTTCAATATAAAATACTGACTAGTACCTGAATTTATCTACTGGTACCTATATTAAACCAATAACTCTAATTTTTATCAATGTTAAACAAACCTGGCCTAAAACCTGCAACCTTCATCAAATAAATACTTTTGAGGTCCAGGTACTACACAGAAAAAGTAAAAACACAGAAAAAATAAAAATAATAATGAAAGCATTATCACATGATCATAGCTGACTGTACTGTATACAAAAGTCTATGTGGGGTAAACATACTTGTAAATTTAAAGTTTATACTAGAGCTAGTAAATAAATCATAAGCATAACATACTCAATGTAATTCACACTATCCAAAGTACTTAAATATACCTGGAGCAAAAGCTTGCAAATTTCATATTTTCCTTTTGCTGCAGCTTCATGTAAAGGTGTAAATTTCCATAAATCAGCTACATTAACTACTGCTCCATGCTTAACAAGAAGTTCTGCAACTTCATAATGTCCGTAAGAACAAGCATTGTGCAAAGGGACAAGGCCTCTGAAAATAAAATAAATAATAATACTACTGGCTATGTTTTAATTTAAATTTTACATAACAAATAGATATTTCCTGAATTGTATAGGATATTTCTTGATTGCATTTTATAAAACTTAAATCTTCTGAAAGCAGAAATAAAATTTCTTTTTGAGGGAGAGAAGAAATATTTTAAAATATTTTAAATGCAAAGAATATAATGAATACCCATATACTCAATGTCTAAAGTAATATATTTTTATTAATTTTTCCCAGAGAGCATGCGCGCTTAGTGGAGAGAGACAGAGAGAAAACACATCCCCCGAAAAATGTGGAATGGTCACATGGTTAGGCTGCAATTCTTGCCAAACCTCTCTCCTCCAATTCCCCTTCCCTTTAGAATTTTGGGCATGCATGCACTTGCACCCTGTGTGTTCTCAAGCCACTGCATCAGGGACTCAAATCGTGCAGGTGGCCATGTGGATCCAGCTACCTTAACCATTAGGCCATGAGCTGGCCATTTTTAATAAATGATAACTTCAAGATAAACTGGAAGAATTAAAATTCCTTGAAAAAAAAACTGAAAAATTTATTACAGTATCTGGGTCAGTCGGTGGCATGGTGGTTGGTTAAGGCAGCTAGATCCCACATGGCCAACTATGCACTTTGAGTCCTGGATCCGGTGGCTTGAGAAATACGACGGTCAGGTGTGCATGCATGCCCAAAATCCCAAAAGGAGACTGGAGGAAAAGGGACTGCAGTGTGGCCATTCTCCCAGGGAGTGCTTTCTATTATTCTCTATCTCTGGTGAGCATGCGCACCCTACAACAAATTTAAAAAGAGCAAAACAAAACAGTATCACATTTAATTCATTTCCTTAGCCACTGTTGTGCTAGTAAGTCTTTATATGAATGCTGTCATAAATCTTAACTGCATGAAGAAGTTATTAAGCCTATGTTAGTAAACAGATTTCCTTGAAAAAAAAAAAAGGGAGGGGATTTCAGCTATTACTATATATATATATATGTTTTTTAAATTATTTTATTTTATTTATTTATTCATTCATTTTAATTTGACCAGAGAGAAACAGAGAGAGAGAGAGAGAAAATGAGAAAGCAAGCCACCAGGTACGGGACTCAAACCGTGGTTGGCCATGTGGGAGTGTCCAGTGCCTTAGCCAATATGCCACCTGCTGTTCCCTCAGCTATTAATATTAAAAGACCATCTTCAGATTGTCTTAGAAAGGTCAGATAAAGGTGAAGAACACAGAGGCCATGGCAATGGCTGGTACTTGCCCTTTATCTTTAGCGTGTACATCAGCTCCGTGTTGTAGCAGATACTCCACCACAGACACCCTGTTGTACCCAGCTGCAAAATGGAGTGGTGTCGACTGACGCCCTTCGATGTCTCTGCAGTTGACACTCTGAACAGTGCACAGTTTCTGTAGGACGGAACACAGGATACACATGATGATGCAAATTCTCATTTCTTTTTTCCACTTGTTTTGAAGAAATCTCAAATGTTGGACTTAAATTCTTATCTCTTCCCATTAGTATCTCAGGACTATTCTCATATCGTCATTTACTGGAAATCCTTCTAGTCTTCTCATCTATGCCTGTATCGTTTGCTTTTTCTATAACCAGTAGGTAAATGTTATCACTAGCACTACTACTGCTTACATAAAGGCAATCTAAGTATCACTTATTAGCAATCCTAACTTCCATTTTGTTGCACCAGTACCACCTAGGGATTTGGTAAAAATTCGCAACTTTGATGGACCAACAGATGGTTTAATGGTTATGTTGATGGACTCCCATGAAGTTGACCACGGTTTGAATCCTGGACCCAGTAGGTTAAAACATACTGGGTATGCATGCATGCCCAAAATCCAGAGAGGAAAATGGAGGAAAAAGGACTGTGGCATGGCCATCCCCCCTGGGGGATGATTTCTCACTTTCTGTCTCTCTGTCTTTCTCTGATGAGCACACACACTCCACAGCAAAAGTTCTCTTAAAAAACAAAAAAGAATTGCTCATTCATAAAATAATGGTGAATTAAATTTTAATTTGTATTAGTTATGTTGTAAAATAATTTTGCTCTTTCAAAATGTTAGGCTTCTGATTTGTTTACTTATGTACAGTTTCTATAAGTAACAGAAGTACTTAGTATAGGCAATATGAGATTGAAAATATTCCTACCATAAAAATCAAAATATGAGGCCGGAAAGAGGCACAGTAGACGCCTGGGGTAAGGTTCTGGGTTTCTGTCCTGGGGCCTCCCTGTGCTGGCCTGGTGCATGCGTGTGCCTACAATCTGGGCTGGCTGGCAGTGAATCATAGTGTGAGGACCAAAGTGGGGTCCTCACCCTGTGTGTGTGTGTGTGTGTGTGTGTGTGTGTGTGCGCGTGTAAGAGATGGGACAGCTAAGAGTCAAAGTTGGCAGTTCTGAGGAAGGGAAAAAAACTTCACTAGATTAAATATTTATCACCTGCTAATATCATTAGGAGAAAGTGGCTCTGCGAAGTGGCAACACTGCATCGTTACTGCATTTAAATACCAGCTCCCTGGGGGAAGGGGAGCACAGAAACGACGAAGGACAAGAAGAAATCTGAGGCAGAAATCAGTTTCCCCCTTACTTTAGGTGTTACATATAAACTAAAACAGACAATAATTTGATATACCTTATTCTCTTTAAGAAAAATGAACAGATTAAGTAAAACCCATCTGGTATTACATGAAGTGGACTTAAATTTGTGAATGTTGATATTTACTGAGATGCACGTGAAACTACAAACTCTTTTACTTTGACTATTCAATGCTCCTTATTTGCAGACAAGAACTTTATTATTGGCCTTTTCAAGCAAGGCGTATATAAACAAAGCAGGCTTTTCATGACAACAGTACAGATACAATCAGCAATGTAAAAATAAAAACCCAAAGTTGATAAAAACTTAAGATTACATCTTACTTTTACAGTTTCTACATCTCCAGCCTTTGCAGCTTCCAGCAATTGTCTGTCTGCCTCTGAATTACCTAGTGAGATACCCTCTAAAAAGAGAGAGGAAAGAATGATTAACTTCAATTTAGATGATGGGATCAAGCTGTATGGGATCTTATCAAAAAGTAAGTTTCATGGTTGGGTAGAATATGCAGGAAATGTCCATGGCCTGGAGGAAAAGGGACTGCAGTGTGGCCATTCTCCCAGGGAGTGCTTTCTATTATTCTCTATCTCTGGTGAGCATGCGCACCCTACAACAAATTTAAAAAGAGCAAAACAAAACAGTATCACATTTAATTCATTTCCTTAGCCACTGTTGTGCTAGTAAGTCTTTATATGAATGCTGTCATAAATCTTAACTGCATGAAGAAGTTATTAAGCCTATGTTAGTAAACAGATTTCCTTGAAAAAAAAAAAAGGGAGGGGATTTCAGCTATTACTATATATATATATATGTTTTTTAAATTATTTTATTTTATTTATTTATTCATTCATTTTAATTTGACCAGAGAGAAACAGAGAGAGAGAGAGAGAAAATGAGAAAGCAAGCCACCAGGTACGGGACTCAAACCGTGGTTGGCCATGTGGGAGTGTCCAGTGCCTTAGCCAATATGCCACCTGCTGTTCCCTCAGCTATTAATATTAAAAGACCATCTTCAGATTGTCTTAGAAAGGTCAGATAAAGGTGAAGAACACAGAGGCCATGGCAATGGCTGGTACTTGCCCTTTATCTTTAGCGTGTACATCAGCTCCGTGTTGTAGCAGATACTCCACCACAGACACCCTGTTGTACCCAGCTGCAAAATGGAGTGGTGTCGACTGACGCCCTTCGATGTCTCTGCAGTTGACACTCTGAACAGTGCACAGTTTCTGTAGGACGGAACACAGGATACACATGATGATGCAAATTCTCATTTCTTTTTTCCACTTGTTTTGAAGAAATCTCAAATGTTGGACTTAAATTCTTATCTCTTCCCATTAGTATCTCAGGACTATTCTCATATCGTCATTTACTGGAAATCCTTCTAGTCTTCTCATCTATGCCTGTATCGTTTGCTTTTTCTATAACCAGTAGGTAAATGTTATCACTAGCACTACTACTGCTTACATAAAGGCAATCTAAGTATCACTTATTAGCAATCCTAACTTCCATTTTGTTGCACCAGTACCACCTAGGGATTTGGTAAAAATTCGCAACTTTGATGGACCAACAGATGGTTTAATGGTTATGTTGATGGACTCCCATGAAGTTGACCACGGTTTGAATCCTGGACCCAGTAGGTTAAAACATACTGGGTATGCATGCATGCCCAAAATCCAGAGAGGAAAATGGAGGAAAAAGGACTGTGGCATGGCCATCCCCCCTGGGGGATGATTTCTCACTTTCTGTCTCTCTGTCTTTCTCTGATGAGCACACACACTCCACAGCAAAAGTTCTCTTAAAAAACAAAAAAGAATTGCTCATTCATAAAATAATGGTGAATTAAATTTTAATTTGTATTAGTTATGTTGTAAAATAATTTTGCTCTTTCAAAATGTTAGGCTTCTGATTTGTTTACTTATGTACAGTTTCTATAAGTAACAGAAGTACTTAGTATAGGCAATATGAGATTGAAAATATTCCTACCATAAAAATCAAAATATGAGGCCGGAAAGAGGCACAGTAGACGCCTGGGGTAAGGTTCTGGGTTTGTGTCCTGGGGCCTCCCTGTGCTGGCCTGGTGCATGCGTGTGCCTACAATCTGGGCTGGCTGGCAGTGAATCATAGTGTGAGGACCAAAGTGGGGTCCTCACCCTGTGTGTGTGTGTGTGTGTGTGTGTGTGTGTGCGCGTGTAAGAGATGGGACAGCTAAGAGTCAAAGTTGGCAGTTCTGAGGAAGGGAAAAAAACTTCACTAGATTAAATATTTATCACCTGCTAATATCATTAGGAGAAAGTGGCTCTGCGAAGTGGCAACACTGCATCGTTACTGCATTTAAATACCAGCTCCCTGGGGGAAGGGGAGCACAGAAACGACGAAGGACAAGAAGAAATCTGAGGCAGAAATCAGTTTCCCCCTTACTTTAGGTGTTACATATAAACTAAAACAGACAATAATTTGATATACCTTATTCTCTTTAAGAAAAATGAACAGATTAAGTAAAACCCATCTGGTATTACATGAAGTGGACTTAAATTTGTGAATGTTGATATTTACTGAGATGCACGTGAAACTACAAACTCTTTTACTTTGACTATTCAATGCTCCTTATTTGCAGACAAGAACTTTATTATTGGCCTTTTCAAGCAAGGCGTATATAAACAAAGCAGGCTTTTCATGACAACAGTACAGATACAATCAGCAATGTAAAAATAAAAACCCAAAGTTGATAAAAACTTAAGATTACATCTTACTTTTACAGTTTCTACATCTCCAGCCTTTGCAGCTTCCAGCAATTGTCTGTCTGCCTCTGAATTACCTAGTGAGATACCCTCTAAAAAGAGAGAGGAAAGAATGATTAACTTCAATTTAGATGATGGGATCAAGCTGTATGGGATCTTATCAAAAAGTAAGTTTCATGGTTGGGTAGAATATGCAGGAAATGTCCATGGCAATAGGAAAAAGTAAAAACACTCTCTTGAAACTCTTTCTGAAATATAACATATATAAACAAAAACATGTAAATGTGTATAACATTTAAAAAATGTAATGTAAGCAATAAAAAGGAACATAAAATAGATTTAAAAAGATGGCTTGCTCCATAACCAAGCCATATGGAACGGTGTAAAAGTATCAGGAAAGTAAAGGCTAGAAATTTAACCTGGGTTCTGCTGTTAACTAGTTATTTACATTGAGGCAAGTCATTTGAACTTTCTGAGTCCCAGACTGATTTTTAGTTCTACAAAAAAGGAGTTGGATTAGCTGATATCTGAAGTCATCTCCATGTCTGAAATGCTGTATTTTACAACTCATTTAAAAATCTCCGAAGAGAGGCTGGCCCTGTAGCCTAGTAGGTCAAAGAGCTAGACCCCATGTGGCCATCTACAGTATGAATCCTGGCCCCACTGGGCACATGTGTGTGCCCAAAATTCTGACAGGATGGAGGAAAGGAGAAGGGATTCCGGTATGGCCATGCTCCTCTGGTAGTTGCTTTCTACTGCTTTCTCTGTAGAATGCACACACCCTTTGGAAATTAGAGAAAAATATCTCAAAAGAGAAATAAACATCTACCTTGTATATTAAATTCCAGATGGATTAAAGATTTTTTTTTGGAGAGGTTTTTGCTAGAGGGCATGTGCGTGCGCCAGAAAGACAGAGAGAGACAGAGAGACAGAAAGCGAGAAATCCACCCCCCCATATGGGGGATGGCCACGCTGCAATCCCTTCTCCTCCATTCTCTTCTTGGGATCTTGGGCACATATGCACATGCGCCTGGCATGAGTTTAAGCCATTGGGTCTGGGATTCGAACTGCAGTTGACTACCTGGAAGTCCAGCAACATAGCCATTATGCCAACTGCTGGTCCCTAGATGGATTAAAGATTGAAATACAAAAAATTTAGACCTTAGAAGATGGATTAAAGATTGAAATACAAAAAATTTAGACCTTAGAAGAGGACTAGCTGGTGGTGTGGTTAAAGTGGCTAGATTCCATGTGGCTGGCTGCATGGTTTGAGTCCTGGATCCAGTGGCTTGAGAAACATGCCAGGCACATGAGCGTCCATGCCCAAAATCCCGAAAGGAGGGTGAAATTGAGAAGGGACTGTGGCATGACAATGCCGTATAGGGGTACTTTCTCACTTTCTCTGTCTCTCTCCAGTGAGGACACATGCCCTCTGGCAAGTAAATACTGGTAAATATTTTAATATCTTGGAACAGAAAGCTCTTGGAGCAGTACATCAAAAGCAGAACCAAAAAAGAAAACTGATTTGGAAAAATAACTGTTAAGCAACAGCATCATTAAATTTATAATACAAAAAACTGTAATGGAAAAAATCTGTTAAGACAATATGGATTTTAAAAGAGAACATATTATACATGACGTTCTTTTAAGAACATTTTAGAAGGCCACTCTAGAAGGCCTCAAAAGACAAATAAATGGGCTGGAGACATGGACAAGCAATTTTACACACTCACACACAGAGGAATGGCCAATAAGCATATTAAAATCACATTCAAACTTACTCAATATCAGAAATGCAAATTAAAATGTGGTATATTTTTCATTCGCTGGTGGAGAAAGAGGAAATGAGAGCTATACTGTTTTTGACATTATTTATATAGTTTACATAAAAAAAGGCATCTATTATTTTCATAATTCACACATTCACCCATGGAAAATAGTAAGAATCTTAATACCTAGCAATGACAAGGAAAACAACTTCTTTTATACACTCATAGTGGGGATATAAAATGGTACATACAACTTTTCTAGAAAATAATTTGACAATTATATGCTACCCTTTGACCTGGAATTTCCATTTTGACAATTTATTCTATGAAACTAGTTGGACAGGTAAGTAAAAGCTGTATGTAATGGTTTTTATTTTATTTTATTTTTCTTTAGAGAGAGAAATTTTTGCTATAGGGCACATGCGCTCACTGGGGAGACAGAGAGACAGAAAGAGAGAAATCACCTCCCGAGAGGATGGCTACACCGCTATCCCTTCTCCTCCACTCTTCTCTTGGGAATTTGGGCATGCACACAAGGTGCCTGGCATGAGATTTAAGCCACTAGGTCCAGGACTCTAACCATAGTTGGCTATGTGGGAGTCCAGTGACATAACCAGTATGTCATCTGCTAGTCCCACTATATGTAATAGTTTTAAAAATAAAACTGGTAAGGGCTAGCCAGTGGCATGGTGGTTAAGGTGGCTGGATCCCACATGTCCAACGGTGTGCACTGAGTCCTAGAGCCAGAGGTTTGAGAAACTCACCAGGTGTATGCATGTGTATGTGTGCACAAAATCTGGAGAGGCAATTGGAGAAGGGTTTGTGGCATGGCATTCCTCCTGGAGGGGCAAGGCTTTCTCACTTTCCCTCTCTCTGCCTCTCTTCAGCAAGTGCATGTCCCCTCTGGTCAATTAAAAAATAAAAATAAAAACTGGCAAGACTAAATTCTATGGCAGGTAGCTAAGTAGGACTAGTGTTAATTACACCAAAAACTGACATTGAAACACATGTGACACATGGGAAAGCAAAGGGACTCTTGAAAGCAATCCTCTAGTTGCTTCAGAGTCTTGGCAGACACCAGGAGGTTGTGTCAACCTGCCTTCATATAGTCAAGAATTTTTTCTCAAAATTTGGTTCCCAGACCAAGGCATAAAAATCATAGATGATAAGAATAGAAAAGGCTTGGTTTATTACATTTCTCATCTAAGCTTTCAGATATCAAAGCTACTCCATTAAATTATGATAAAAGCTAGAAATGTAAGCAGAAATAATTTAAAACTAATTGAATAATTCTTTTCTTTCTTTTTGGTATAGGGTGTGTGCAGTCACTAGAGAGACAGAGAGAGGAAGTGAGAGCCCACCCCCCACCCTCCCAGGAGGGATGTCCATACCACAGTCCCTTCTCTTCCATTCTCCTCTTGGGATCTAGGGGACACATACACACATGCTCAGTGTGAGTTTTAAGCCACCGGGTCCGGGACTCAAGTCACAGTTGACTACGTGGAAGTCCAGTGACGAAACCATTATCCCAACTGCTGGCCCCGAAACAGATTTCCAGGTTGAAATGTTTAAGCTGTGCCAACTTTGTAGATAATCAATCTAAACATTAATTAATGTTTACTGTAGTAAAATTACTACAAATTTAATATATTAAATGTGATAAAACTTTAAGTGGACTCAGTAGTTTCAAATGTTCTAATAAGACAAGTAGTTGGTTATCTAGACAAATTCCACATGCCCGTAAGTATATGCAGGATTTGGAAAGGAGTTAAGAAGCTGATGGCCAAGATTTATGATATTATTTGTCATTAGGGTTGTATGAAAGATGTTTCCCTTTCAAAGTTTTCCTTTCTTTATAAAGAAGTAGCAAATATATTTCGCTCTTACAAGCTTTCTTGATAAAAAGCTAAGAGTCATCTATTTACCCAAAGAAACTGAGCAGAAGATGCTACTGGAATGAAATCGTAACAGACTTAATGATATCTGGCATCAAGTATAATAAGGGAAGACTATATTGAGTTAAAAATAAATAGCCAAAACGTCTCAAAAACTTTCTCATCAACTGCTACATATGTAACACCTTATATGTAAACATTTGTAAAGATTAATTAAAAAAAAAAAACTAATTTCATGGAAGCATTTACTACCTTGAAGCAGTTGCTGCACATTTTCATTCCCCATCTGTAAGGCAGTAAAGCCCTGAAGGGATATGATGTTGGGGTCACACCCATAGCTCAAGAGGAGGCGGCAGGTCTGCAGATGGCCACAGTGCGCAGCTCTGTGCAGAGATGTCTGCCCAAGGTTATCCAGGGCGTTCACCTAACAGTGAAGAAAACGCTGAGATGAGTCTGCAGTGTGAAATTTAAAACCACCCAATCACGTACTTAGTACTTGGTAGTAATTTAAAAGTCTCAATTACTATTTTACGAAAATTATTATCCAGTGCCAAAACAAATATTTTTGCACACATCTAGAGCACAAATACATCAACTCATGAGGCTGACATCAGACAAGATCCAATTTTTGGGTAAAAATGTGAGATCCCGAGTAACAATTGAGTTTAGCATTGAAATATTCTTAGATTTCACTGTATTTAGAGCTAGACATTGCCCAAGAAAGTTGAATCCATGTAGTTTTATGGATCTGAGGTATAGAAATGTTGAAATTACCCCCAAGATACACAATAGTAACAAATCTAATAAATCAGTATTAAAACACCTTCTCTTCCATTCTCCTCTTGGGATCTAGGGGACACATACACACATGCTCAGTGTGAGTTTTAAGCCACCGGGTCCGGGACTCAAGTCACAGTTGACTACGTGGAAGTCCAGTGACGAAACCATTATCCCAACTGCTGGCCCCGAAACAGATTTCCAGGTTGAAATGTTTAAGCTGTGCCAACTTTGTAGATAATCAATCTAAACATTAATTAATGTTTACTGTAGTAAAATTACTACAAATTTAATATATTAAATGTGATAAAACTTTAAGTGGACTCAGTAGTTTCAAATGTTCTAATAAGACAAGTAGTTGGTTATCTAGACAAATTCCACATGCCCGTAAGTATATGCAGGATTTGGAAAGGAGTTAAGAAGCTGATGGCCAAGATTTATGATATTATTTGTCATTAGGGTTGTATGAAAGATGTTTCCCTTTCAAAGTTTTCCTTTCTTTATAAAGAAGTAGCAAATATATTTCGCTCTTACAAGCTTTCTTGATAAAAAGCTAAGAGTCATCTATTTACCCAAAGAAACTGAGCAGAAGATGCTACTGGAATGAAATCGTAACAGACTTAATGATATCTGGCATCAAGTATAATAAGGGAAGACTATATTGAGTTAAAAATAAATAGCCAAAACGTCTCAAAAACTTTCTCATCAACTGCTACATAGGTAACACCTTATATGTAAACATTTGTAAAGATTAATTAAAAAAAAAAAACTAATTTCATGGAAGCATTTACTACCTTGAAGCAGTTGCTGCACATTTTCATTCCCCATCTGTAAGGCAGTAAAGCCCTGAAGGGATATGATGTTGGGGTCACACCCATAGCTCAAGAGGAGGCGGCAGGTCTGCAGATGGCCACAGTGCGCAGCTCTGTGCAGAGATGTCTGCCCAAGGTTATCCAGGGCGTTCACCTAACAGTGAAGAAAACGCTGAGATGAGTCTGCAGTGTGAAATTTAAAACCACCCAATCACGTACTTAGTACTTGGTAGTAATTTAAAAGTCTCAATTACTATTTTACGAAAATTATTATCCAGTGCCAAAACAAATATTTTTGCACACATCTAGAGCACAAATACATCAACTCATGAGGCTGACATCAGACAAGATCCAATTTTTGGGTAAAAATGTGAGATCCCGAGTAACAATTGAGTTTAGCATTGAAATATTCTTAGATTTCACTGTATTTAGAGCTAGACATTGCCCAAGAAAGTTGAATCCATGTAGTTTTATGGATCTGAGGTATAGAAATGTTGAAATTACCCCCAAGATACACAATAGTAACAAATCTAATAAATCAGTATTAAAACACTTGTTTCTAGGCTTAATAGTCTACCTAATTTATCACGTAAAAAGTAATCTGTATAGAGAAACATACTTATCGTGTATATTCACACAACAAAGAATCCTCAGCAATGAAAAGAAACAGACCACTGATAATTGGATGACAAAATACTGAATGGGAGGAGCCTTGCACAAAAGAATATATACTTCCATGTATATGAAGGCCTAGAATAGGCAAATTTAATCTAGGTCAGAAAAAAATCAAAACAGTTGTCACCTCTAGAGGTAGGGACTGCCTGGGAAGGGGCATTACTTCTTCCACAAGATAATGTTCTATATCCTGATAGGAGTTTTGGTTATACAGGTGTATGTATTAGTCAAAATTCAGAAAATGTACATTTAAGATTTGTACAGTTCAATGCATATAAATTTTACATCTAAAAAAAGAATTGTAAAAGACTCAACTCTAGTTGATGTGCACATGGACACATTCAGGGGGAAATGTACAATAATCTGCAAATTACTCTGGAATGTGCCCCAAAATAAGATGTATACATCGGGGATGGAAGGTGGCCTAGTGGATAAGTGAACTGGACTCCCACACCACTGACTATGGTTCGAGTCCTGGACCTGGTGGCTTGCTTTTTCACTTTCCATCTCTCTCTCATATGTCCCTCTTTGGTCCAATTAAAAAATAAGTAAATAAATAAAGTAAAACAATTCTTTAAAAATAAAAGATGTATACAAAAATGGACAGAGAGAGAAACTGATAGGCATGTAATACAAACCTTAAACTAAATCATAAATAACTAGTCTCCATGCTTATATAACCTGAAAAATTTATTTAAGATGCTCAGAGCTATTCACATACCCAAACTCACTGAAATGTAAAAAAACTTCCACTTTTGAAAACTTTATTTGGGTTCTACTTTGGTTAAGATTAGGGTGAATGGGCAAATGGGTGGTACAGAGGTTAAGGTAGCTGGATCCCACATGGCCAGCTAAGCAGTTCGAGTCCTGAACCCTGTGGTTCCATACATGCCAGACATTCCCAGGATTCTAATGGGAGAACGGATTGCGATGTGGCCATTTTCCCTGGGGGGTAATCTCTCACCTTCCCTCTCTCTATTTCTCTACCCTGTAGCAAGCATATACACCCTATGGCAAAAATTAAAAAAGACTAGATTGTTAGAGTGACCAACTTGTCCTGGTTTTGCTCATTTTAGCACTCAAAGTTTTATGCATCCAGAAATCCCCAAGTCCTGGACAAAACTAGATGGTTGGTTACCCTAGTCAAGATTATTTCCCAATCCCAATTTTATATGTATCCAGATAGTGCTCAAGTAGAGTATCACATGTATGAAAAAAGCAATCAACGAGAAGTTATAGAACAGAAAGACAAATGAGATGTGCCAAGCAGTCAAGCAGAAATAAACTTTATTTGATAATTTACAATAAGAAAGATCAGGATTATACATTATCAAGAATTTCACCACATCAAAGAGAAATAAGAATACCAACAGGCAACACAAAAAGAAACTAGAGAATTGTAAGTAGATCCTTAAGTGAGTGAAAACCCAAGGAAGGACAGATTTAAAAAAAAATTATTCTGCAAAATCCACTTAGAAAAGGGTCTCAGGGGAAGCCAATGGGAAAGAAGTCTTTATTCTTTTGTTTTCCCTTCATCTGGAGTTGCTCCATTCTTTCTCTGTTAAATACTGAACTCTTAGTAAAGATTTTTGTTTGAAGAAGGCAAGGATATAAACTAAAAACTGTGAAAAATGCTAAATTTAGTTGACTGTCATCTTTCTAATCAGAGATGCTAGGTATATCTTTTACTGAGTGTATTTTAAAAAGTGATTGGGTAAGAAATAATGATTTCTAGTCTTTATAAATTTAAGTTTTGAATAAATAAACGCTTTGTGTAGAAATGCCAACTGAAGAATAACAACACACCGGGTCGGCTGGCGGCGTGGTAGATAAAGATGAAAGTTGGTGCATCATGCAGCTGACGGAACAGTTACAGTCCCAGACCCGGAAGCCTGAAAAATACTTTGGGCACATGTATGTGACCGAAATCCCAAAAGGGAAAATGGAGAAGGGGCTGTATTGTGACCATCCCACATGGGGGGGGGGGAAGGTAAGTGCTCTCTAACAAGTCCCCCCCCCACGCACACACCAAGCTTATGTACCCTCTGGCAAACTAAAAAGAATGGCAATTTACTAACCTGGGAAGCTATGATCTGTTTTGTTTGTTTTATTTGTTTTTAAATTCTCAGAGGGTCCCAGAGACACACAGGGAAAAAGTATCCCTTAATGGGTGTTGCCGTGTTACAATCTCTTCTCCATTTCTCCACACTGTTAGGATTTGGGGCATGCACACACACACTTATACAAGTCTAACTTTTTCAAGTCTGAGGGGCCAGGATCCCAACTGTGGTTAGCCATGTGCAATCCAGCTCCCTTAATCACTAGGCCCTGAGGTCAACTCAAGGAGCTAGAATGTCTTCAGTCAAATTACTTGAATTATGAGTTATTTGACTGAGTTACAGAAATAAGAGGATAAGAAAGACTGTGACTGGGATCAAAAACAAGAGTTACCACGGAAACCAAGAAATAGAAGATAGGAGTGAGAAAAGGTAAGTAGAAAAGAGGTCAGGTCAGAATCAGTATGTTTAGCTGAGAATATTCTGAAGTGAGTGCTGTTAGAAAAAAATTTCTCAACAATATTTTGAACAGTGAGATGTGGTTAAAAGGAATGAGAAGGAAGGCTATACAGGCATAATGTAAATTTGAGTAAGTCCATAGACTTGCTAGCAAAAAATCTGAAACAAAACGTTATCTATAGGACTAAAAAAGTATAGCGAAGAGGGAAAAAATACTAAACTAATACTTAAAAGAGAGTAAATAGCTCAGGAAGTCAGGTTTTTCATTTGTAAACAGAAAATAAATCACTAGACTACCAAAGATTACCAGAAAGGAAGTATACCTTTGCTTCATGTTTCACCACCACTTCGACAACATCATTGTGAGCTTTCTCGGATGCCACGTGCAGAGGAGTCAAGAATCTTAAAAGAGAAAAAGTCAGACAGACCATGAATGTATTTCCTAAAAATTAGAAAGTCAATAACACTTCATTGTTAAAGAGGATACTTACTCTTTAGTCTTTTCATTGATGTTTGCTCCTTTTCTTAGCAATAGTTCACATATTTGCTTTCTTTTGGGATATGGAGATGCAGCAGCACAATGCTAAATAATTTAAATTGCATCATTAATCAAGGACTATACATAACTATTACTTAAGAACATTCTTGTTTCCAATCAAGAACAATCATGAAGTTATTTTAACCACTTTGCTTTATTTCTGACCTAACTTTGCTCTTGAAAGACTTTTTATTAAGTGGAATATGTAACAATGAACACATTCTAACAGGGCCTGAAAATCCTATCTACCAAATGATATCTGTTATTAAATATTCTGATTAAGCTTTAATGCTGTTCTACATCTTTGAAAAGATGTAGACTATGTCATGAAACATTTAAATTAACATGACCAACACCCTTCAAAATTTCTTATACTGTGTGGTATATTTTCTGCTTTAAAGGTTAAGAAAAGAGTGGTGTGGTGGTTAAGGTGATGACTGTGATTCGAGACCAAGACCTGGTGGCTTGAAAATAATAACAAATAAATAGATAAATAGTTAAATAAATAAATGAGTGTTTAAAAAAATATAATGGTTAAGAAAACACTCCAAAGGGGGCCAGCAGGTGCCATGGTGGTCAGGGAGCTGGACTTCCACATGGCTGACTATGGTTTGAATCCCGGACCTGGCAACTTGCTTTCTCACTCCCCCCACCTTTGGTCAAATTAAAAATAGTAATAACAACAATAACAAAAATAATAAAAATTAAAAAGTAAAACATCCCTAAATTTGGGGTTTCTTTATGTGAAGAAATAACACCCAAAAGCTCTGGAGTCTGCTTGGTAACGCATGATCTCTCTCAGCTAGCTGCTCCTACAGGAGGAGCTGAGACAGCCCATTTAGCAAAATCAGTGGTAGAAAATTTCACACTCTGGAATTCGAGGAGGAAAAGGACATAGGAGGTAAGGATTTGCCAGGTATAAACCTATTAAGTATCTTACTGTAATAGCCCCTATCTTTGCATGCCCAATATCCAGGGTGATACTCATGCACAACAGGTGTTCAATAAGGTCTGAATGATAAATGACTAATCAACGTGTCTAGGTTAAAATGGAAATCTAAAAGTTCAGGAACTAAAAGCTCTGGATAATTTTTAGGCAAAGTTGCTCTATACACCTCAATACACATGAAATTTGTTCTCGTGAGTTTTACCTGTTATTAACTGTAGTTTACCTGTTTTTCAAGACTTTGTTATAGATTCATTCTATAATGTTGTTGCTATCACCAAAATCATTCCTTGACCCTCAAAAAAAACCCCATTGCTAATCACCCCATCTATCAAGAGAGGATTGAGAATGGAAATAGATTATTTCTAAGAATTCTTCAGCATGTCCACCTCAAACTGCACCCCTAACTCCTCTGTACCATCCTGGGGGCAGGGCCTAAAACCTCTGAAAATCTAGGACAAACTACTCCTGTACTGCAATTACACACCAATACTTAACTACTACTATATATTTTTAAAATGAATTGTTTAATAGTAGGATATTCAGAGGAAAACAACATGTAGTTTTGGCTTTACAGGTCAGAAAACTTATCATGTGGTCAGTTACGAATTTGTACCATTTTAATGCTATTATGGTTTTAGTTTTATCTAACATTTCTTATTAGTCTGCAGCTATTTTTTTTTTAACTTGGTTTTTTTTTGTTTGTTTGTTTTTTACATGTTAAGGAGCAAAAAAGTACAAAATGTTTTATTGATAGGTTTCCATATAAACTTCACAGTTTACATCATAGCACAAGGAACAAAATTTACCATAAAGGACATTAGGTAAGCAAGACTACCAAAGGTTAAGTGTGCTCTTGAGAACACATTCATTGGGATCAACAGTTGGTGTTATGGCTATGCCGCTGGACTACCATGTAGTCCACTGTGGTTCAAGTCCCGAACCCAGTGGCTTAAACTCACACCAGGTGTGTGCGTGTGGGTGCCCAAAATCCCAAGAGAAGAATGGAGAAGGGGTTGTGGTGTGGCCATCCCCTCCTGGAGGTGATTTCTTGCTTTCTTTCTCTCTGGGAAGCGCACATGCCCTATAGCAAAAACCTCTCCCCCCAAAAAAGAAAAAAAGAACACATTCATTTATCTTCTCTGACCCAACGCATGCTCTATGATCATACAAGAATTACTTTTACCTTTTAAGTTTTTACTTTCAAGGTAGGCCTTGACTACACTATTCCCCATCTTCTACCACTTACATCCCCAGTAGCTTGAGTCTTCCCTGACTGCGTTTCCTGAGACTTCCTTACTCACAAGCTCTACAGAGTTGTCACTACCTCTACTAGGAAGACCCCTCTAAGATCCTTCACTTACACTTAGATCTATTTTTTGGGGGGGAGGGAGGGAGCCAAAAAACATGCAAAACTAGAAGAAAATTCAAGTGATTTTTATCTGGATGATGGTATAATTTTCATTACTTTCAGTGCATTCTAAATGTTCAAATATAAGCATTTGTAATATTTACAGCTCCTAAAAAAGGCAAATGATACATACATCCATAATAATAATAATGAAATTACACATAATATATGCCAGTATATGAGTACAATTTTTCTCAGAAAGGAGTCTAAAACTAATAATAGTGTTACCTTTTGGGAATTGAGATTGCCTATTTTTCTGTACTGTTTGAAATATATTTTTCATACATATGTAGGCATTAAATTTTTATTTTTTTTGGGGGGGAGAGATTTTTGCTATACAGCACATGTGCTAGCCAGAGAGACAGAAAGCAAGAAATCACCCTCCAGGGGGATGGCCACGCTATAATCCCTTCTCCTCCATTCTCCTCTTGGGATCTTGGGCACACATGTACTCATGCCCGGCATGAGTTAAGCCACTGGGTCCAGGACTCGAACCGCGGTTGACTACATGGGAGTCCAGCGACATATCCATTATGCTAACTGCTGGTCCCAATTTTTAAAAGTTAGATTTTTAAAACAATGTAACTACTAAAAGTAGGAACTATGATTAGTTTGGCATATTTTTAGTTACTGTATTTTAAAAACTGAAATCTGAAACATTACCAATGCTGTTTCATGTGTTTGAGGATGCTTGAAATTCACCATTTCCAGAGACAGATGTTTTTTGATTCGTGTAACATCAGCTTCCCGTGCAGCTTGCAGCAATGAATGGCCTTTAAATTCATCTAGGTTAAGAAAGAGCATTTAAATCTATGTGAGAATTATCACAGTGAGGGGGCTAATCTAGTAAGTCACCAGGCATCAAAACAAAAAAAAAATTATTTTCGGGATCAGCAAATGGCAAAATGGTTACGTTGAAATTCTACATAGTCAACTGTAGTTCAAGTGTGGGACCCGGTGGCTTGAAATTCATGCTGGGCATATGTGTATGCATGCCCGAAATCCTGAGAGGAGAATGGAGAAGAAGGGATTGCGGCATGGTCATCCCCCCTTGGGGGTGACTTCTCGCTTTCTGTTTCTCTGTGCCTCTTTCATAAGTGCACATGCCCTATAGCAAAAATCTCTCTAAAAAAACCCCCAGATGTATATATATGTATATATACATCTGTATATGTATATATATGTATATATATGTGTATATATATATACATTTACAAAATAATCTTACAAAATAGCCTGAGAGACGCTCTAAAGTTATTCTACAAATAACCCACCAAAAGTAGAGACAGTTGTATTCCGGCTCCTCTCAGTTACAGCCAGTTTGTCCCCACGTGCACACACAGACTCAGTTGACAGCGGACACTCTCCTAAATGGATGAAGTCTGTAGCACACTCCTGAGTGTATGATACAGACTTGTAGCCCAGAAATTTTTCACATATATATTTTTTTTTCTTTTTTTTTTTTTTTTTTGCTAGAGGGCACATGTACTTGCCAGACAGAAAGAGGGAGACAGAGAAAGCACCCCACCATGGGGCATGGTCATGCCTCAATCCCTTTTCTTCCATTCTTCAATGTCACAGGATTTGGGGCACACAAACACAACTGGTATGTTTTTCCAAGCTGTTGGGGCCAGGATACAAACAGCATGGTTTGCCATGTGGGATCCACCCAACTACGAAGCCAGCCCCACCGGTTTTCCCTTACTTACAAACATATATATATATATGTATGTTTTTAATAAAAGTACTTTAAAAATCTTACCATTTTTAAAATTTGACCAGAGAGAGAGACAGAAGGAGAGAGAGACAAAGAGTGATACAGAGACAGGAGACTTGTAAGTGGTATTCCTACCAAATAAATAACTGTAATTGGGAGGCTGGTCAAATTTTAAAAAATGATGATCATGATAAATAAAATCAAATAAATGATGCTTAAAAAACAAAAACATAACCGGTCTAGAGATAGCTCAAGTACAACAATATATTCCCAGATCAGAGTGTTCTGAGGAATGTCCAAAGAACAGAGCTTTTCTCAGGAAAGAAATAAAACAAATAATATAATCTTTACACTAACATTATGGAGGTAACAGATGGTTTTGTTCTTATCAGAGAACTGGGGACTAGGCAAACTGATATTTCTAAAAGTCATCTACAAAGTGTTTTACTCATCAGACTTAATGAGACCAACCATTATTCTTTATTGAACCAGAAAAATAAAAGACTAATAGAAGTTGCCTATTTACATTAATATGTAGCAAAACTGTGTCTGGACTAAGTGTTATGTCTTACTATATTTACTTTAGCTATGAAAACCAGAGTTTGGCCCAGGTACCAAAGCATAATACATGTTAAGATCTGAGGAATAGGGGTTACTAGGTAGCATGGTGGTTAAGGTGCTGGATTCCCACATGGCTGACTATGGTTCGAGCCCTGGGCCTGGCAGCTTGAAAATCACAACAAATAAATAGATAAATAAATAAATGTTTAAACAAAAGAAAGAAAAAAAAATTGGGGGAATGAGCCAGGTATGGTGGTTAAGATGATTGGATCCCACATGGCTGACTATGCAGTTTAAGTTCTGGACTTGGTGGCTTGAAAATCACCCTGGGCGTGTGTAGGTGTGGGCCTAAAATCCCAAGAGGAGAATGGAGAAGGGACTAAGATATGGCCATCTTCCTTGTGAGGGAGTGCTTTCTCACCCTAGCCCCCATCTCTCTCCAGTGAGTGTACATGTACTATAGCAAAAAAATAAGGGGGGGGCATGTTTAAGGGCTGGCCCTGTAGCCTGATGGTTAAGGGAGTGGATCCCACATAGCTGACCAGTTTCAATACCACCGGTTCCAGCAGCTTGAAAAATACACAGGGTGCATGTGCATGAGGGGTCAAAAATCTAGACAGGATGGAGAATGCGACATGACAATGCCCCATAGTGGGAGCGCTCCCTGTTGCCATCCCCCTTCTGGCAAGCAAGGAAGCACTATGAACTCTAGCAATTAAAAAGAAGAGAAAATCATTAAAGACAGGAGCAAAATACAAATGGATTTGTTTAAAAAGCATACCATATATGAGATTAATATTTTTAAAAAAGTATGTAACTTGACTTAAAAAATACTAGTGTTTTTTCATAGCATCTCCAGTAAGTAGAAGCTTCCAGGTTATTACATATGCTAGCCCAAATAACACCAATAACTTTAAAAAGTTCTAATTCTATTAAATGCTTCTAAAAACAAGAAAAAGTATTCAATTTATTGATCATTTAATATCAACTGAACACTGCTCATTCCATACTCACATGCTAGTCTTTCCTTTAACTGTGGCGTGGGAGCCAAGTCTATAGCACTTTTGTTGTGACAGTTCAGCAGTGTTGGATCTGCACCGTAACTTAGGAGAAGAGAACACACTTCAACCCTGTTCTTAGAAGCTGCTTCATGAAGAGGAGTAAACTGCCACAAGTCCATCGCATTCACACAGGCACCGTGCTGGGGGGGGAAAGCATGTATTTTATGTTCAGTTTTGAAAAGAATTTAGAATCATTAGTACTTTGTAAATTAACCTCGTGCAAGCCTAAAGAGATTAACTTTTTAAGTCAATTATTTCAGAAAGAAAACACATTTTTCCTAATGAAAAAATAGTTGCTGATTATCAGAGGTGCCCACAAAGGTCTATTTAACACTTTCACTGTTAAAAACAGTAATGAGTACATATGCCTCTCAGTGAAACATGCCTATGGACATGGGCTATCATGGTAGATCCATGTTTGAATTTAGTAGAAACTGTCAATAGTTTGTGAAAGTGGCTGTACCATTCGCCATTGTTATCAGCAATGCTGAAGTTCCAGCTGTTCCACAGCCTTGTTTACCAATACTTCATTTTAGTAAAACTTCTTAACTTTAGCCATTTCTAAGAAGTCTGTCTAGTTCAACCTCCCATTAAATTCAAAATCCTTCTACAGGTTCCCATCAGAGAACAAACCACCTTCCTAATGTCACACTTAAAGCTAGTCTTTCTTTTAATTGTGATGTGGGAGCCAAGTCTACAGTACTTTTATGACAACTCAGCAGTGCTGGATCAGCACCATAAATTAAGGCTTCAACACACTTTCAATGATGGGGACCTAATTCTCAACTAACATGGATTTTTTTTTCTTTTTTAAAGAGTGATTTTATTTAAACTTTTAACTTTTTTTTTTTTTCTTTTTAAAATTGACCAGAGAGGAACAGAAAGAGAGAATGCAAGAAAGCAAGCTGCCAGGTCTAGGACCTGAACCACAGTTGGCCATGTGGGAGTCCGGAGTCCTTAACTACCATGTCACTTGCTGGCCCCACTAACATGGATTTTTAAAACTAGTAGATAACTCCAGTTGTTTGGATATTCTCTTCTACATTAGGTTAAAATAAGTTTGATCCATTTGTCTTCTTTGGAGCAAAAAAGATCAATACTTTACTTTGCAATATTTGAAGGCAACTCTTATGTTTTTCTTTTCCAATATAAACATCTCAAGTTATTTCATTCATCCTTCATCTCAGATGGCTTATAGACTTGATCATCCAGGTGGCCTTCAACTAAATATATTTTAGTTTAGAAAATTCATTTAAAAAAAATCGCAGGGATCAGCAGGTGGCATGGTGGTTAAGGAGCTGGACAATCCCACATGGTCAACCATGGTTCGAGTCCCTGGATCTGGCGGCTTGCTTTCTCACTTTCTCTCTCTCTCTGTGTCTCTCTCTGGTCAAATTAAGAATAAAACAAATGAATATGTACAATTAATAAATAATTATTTTTAAAAATCTAGAGCCTAAAATAACAATAAACTCCCAGTATAGTTACTGAATAGTAAATCCATTATTACATTTGTTCTTGACACATCTACTCTAGGCAGAAAAGGATAGCTTTTAAGCAGACACATCAGAATTTACATGTTACTGAACTGGAAGTAATTTTAAAGCTCTAGAATTTTTTTAAAACATGAAGTAAGCAGAGGCTGGTAGGTGGCATGGTGATTAAGTGTGCTGAACTCCCACATGGCTGACGGCGGTTTGCGTTTCAGACCTGGCAACTTGCTTTCTTGCTTCTTCACTTTCTCTCTCTCTCTCTCTCTCTCTCACTCTGTATCTCTCTGGTCAAATTAAAATAAATAAAATAAAGTTAAATAAAGTAATTCTTAAAAAAAAAAAGATACCAAATATGTTCTCCTCTCCCATTTTGTTCTTGTGAACTTATTTTTTGATCTAATTTATTATTCATTTTTTTTTCGAGAAGTTTTCGCTATAGGGTGCGTGCGCTCGCCAGACACACAGAGAGAGACAGAGACAGAAAGCGAGAAATCACCCACCAGGGGGGATGGTCATGCCGCAATCCCTTCTCCTCCATTCTCCTCTCCGGATCTTGGGCCCGCACGCACATGTGCCTGGCATGAGTTTTAAGCCACCAGGTCCAGGACGCGAACCGTGGTTGACTACATGGGAGTCCAGCGACATAACCATTACACTAACTGCTAGTTCCCTTGATCTAATTTATTTTTAAAATTTACTTAACTTCATTATTTTAATTTGATGAAAGAGAAAGGGAAAGTAAGAAAGCAAGTCACTAGATCAGTCTTGAATTGCAGTCAACCATGTGGAGTGTCCAGCACGCCAACCACCATGCCACTTGCCGGTCTCTTGAACTTATTTCTTAGTTGATTCCTTTTAAATGCCATTTTACTAGCTTCAACATAAGCTAAGAGCATGTGAAGATGGTTCTAAACCTTGATTTTATCAACGTGAATATCAGCTATCGTTCTCAGCTCTGTGTTAATCTGCAAAATTTTAAAGTATCCCTTCTAATATTTATCAACAATAAAAACTGTAGATCACAATAAAGGCAAAGACAGAACCTTGTGCTGGCCCATTAGAGGTTCCAACATTCCCTTCTAAGCAAAGAAATTTCAGTCGACACTTTATGCACAGTTGTTTGATTGTGAATCTAGCTGACGGAATTTGTCCTCTCATTCTAGCCAGATGCATCCTCCTTGTACTCAAAGGTTATGAGGAGAAAGTCAGGAGAACTCCTTGTTATTTGGTGTCTGCCGGTGCCACACCTTCATTTCCTGAATGTTTTGCCCATAGATCAAGTCTTGGTGCCTTCTGTGCCTAGCACAGTGTCCTGGGCTCGGAAAGCAGTCAGTCACTGAATGCCAGCTTCCTCTAGCCAGGCGATATAACAAAAGGTGCCAACTGACTCAGTGTTGCCCAAGGCCTCAGCTTGCATTCCCAATTCCTGTTCACTTGCTTTCTTGGGACTTTGTTGAAGTTTAACCTCCATTCAAAGTATGACCTCTGGTCAGCCCTCCATTCTTATTTGGTAACACTACATCTTAGAAAATACTACTTAATTGTCTTTAAGTCTTGGTGTAATTTGGCTCATGTCTCACTCACGCCACAGCAACACTGCATGTGTTCTGCTGAATTCATGGCTCGGTTTTACAATCCTCCCTCTCTCATGAACACAGGTTCTCTATCATGAATGAAATAATAAACACGGAAAAATGAATTCAATTTTACAAGAAGCAAAAATATTACTGCCAGAAATATATAATATTATAGTCACATCATGAATTTTACAAAGGCTTATATGCTATTCAAGGATATCTAATCATTATTTAAAGTTTTGGGAAAATGTATTTCATGAAGGTAAATGCCCAAAAAGAAGCAGAGACACTGAAGTAGTGTCTCCTTCCCTCCCATGACGGCTGCTGAGAGAGGGAGGAAAAGTACTGAAGGGACAGACAGTGTTCAGGGTAAGAGAGGTTTCAAGACTGTAGGTAAGGAGCCAGTGGGTGATATGGTGGTGAAGGCACAGGACTCCCACATGGCTGACTATAGTTCAAGTCCCAGACCGGGCAGCTTGCTTTCACATTTTCTCTCTCTCTCTACACATGCCTTGTAGCAAATTAAAAAAATAAAGAAAAAAAAAGATGAATTAAAATTTTTAAAAATATGAAGAAATATGCTGAGGACAGATGGAAATGGGCATGGGTAATACCCTTGGATTTGCTTTCAAGGATAGATTTCTTCTCTTCCCAACCAACAAGGGTCAAAATAAATAAGGTTTCTTGCTAGTTTTGGGAAGTTGTTTGTTAAATAACAATTTCCTAGCATATTGGAAGAGTGAAGCTTACTGAGTAACTCTGTTCCAACTCAAAGTACAACTGGACGGGGCTGGCCCTATGGTCTAGTGGTCAGGAGAGCCAGAACCCACATGGCTGCCCTTGGTTTGAATCCCAGTCCCAGCAGCTCAAAAAACATGCTGGGTGCACATGTGCACATGCCTAAAACCTGACAGGATAAAGTAATGGAGAAAGGATTGTGTGACCCGCCTCTTTTGGGGGCTTCTCTCTCTGGCAAGTGCACACACACTCTGGCAATATTTTTAAAACATGGGAAGCAGAGTTCATAGTAATTAAAAACAACAATAAAAACCTCTCAGTAAAGTGATACATATATACATATGTACACTGGACACATGGAAAATAAAAAAGCACAAGGAAGAAATTACATTAATTGATAATCAGTAGGTCTCAAAACAAAAGTGAATACAACTGAAAATCTTGCAAATGTAGCTGATGGTGACTTTAGTCACCATCACTATGAGTCACTAGAAATTGTTTTCTGATAATAGCTTTCAAGAGTTTTGAAACCTCGCCTTTAACTACAAATTATAGAATCACTTAAATCTATTTACAAAATGGTAGTGCAACCTTATATTTTAAATTGTATGGTTATTTCAAGAATCTCAAAGCCATCATATGCTGACCTATCAATCACCCATATTTTCTACTCATAAATACTCCATTTCCACCAAGCACCAAAAGCACAGAAGGAGATATACTATGTATTTCACATAATTTTATAGTTACAGAAAATAACTAGGAAAGTACAGGAGAACTAACCTTGACCAGAAGTTCAGTTACTTCATAATGACCATAAGAACAGGCATTGTGTAATGGCACCAGATCACTACAAAGAGGGGATAAAACCTGTGTTATTTTAGACTCTCTAGGCCCAGGGAAATTTATAAATTAAAGTTTATTTCATTCTAATTAACTCAAATTTACACTCAGATTTAAATAGAATATGGCTTATGAGACCTTCCAATAAAAATGGTAAAAATTTAGTAACACACCTATGACTCCAAGTCCTAACAATTCTAATTCCCAAGTCTTTTTAAAATCCATCTTCCTGTTTTCCCCATTGTCACTGCCGCTGCCTTAATTTGGGTCTGTATCATTTCCCCCCTGAACTGTAGGAAAGTTTCAATCCAATTTATCCTCCAAGCAGTAGTCAGATTTTAATAAAAGATAAATGTGTGTGCGTTAATTAACATCCCTGGTGGTTCCTCCTCTGCGTTCAGGAGACAGCTCCAACTGTTCAACCAGGCACACACAATGACCTGACCCCCAAGCCTCACCCCCACGTGGCGCACTAACTAGGAGCTCCCGGTATGTCTGCACGCACTGCTGCCAGGAGCAGGGGAGAACCCTCCCTCCTTTGGTGGGTTGATCACTTCAACACATCTTTCCCAGACTCAGTTCAAATGCTGGCTCTTCTTTGAAAATTTTTTTTGTGTTCTTAGAAGATAACTTGCTATACTGCTTAAAAAACAGAGAACCAATTCCTTCATAATGGAAATAGAGAAAATTTAAAATCCTGATTTCTATCCTGAAACCCCTCTCTGGGAATCATTCACTTTAAAAATGGCCACAGCCACCATCATGATGGCCTCTGGTAGGCGATGCCACTAGTGAGTTAGTCTAGTTCTTATGTGTCTTCTCCTCAAAGGCTCACGGCTTTCCTCACGTCTTCTGAATACATGGCAGCATTACTTGCCTGAGTATGAATTTCATTCCCAACTATCTACTAGATACCTTCACTTGAGTTTCCATCATCTCAAAACCAAGTGTTCTATCTGGGAACTCAATGCTCTCCAGCAACCTTTACTCCAATATGTGTATCTTGGGTCCAAGTTAATTAGCTTGAGAATTTGAAATGAACAGTCTGCCTTTTATCCCTTTCTCTTTTTCTTCATGTCCAGATATTTGACAAGTCTTATCCATTCCTGTACTGCATTACCGCTTTCCTCTGGCTGTATTTCCATGTCCTCAGCATCCTTATCATGGATAAATGCCCAGAGTGCTCATATTTCCCTAACTCCTCTTTGCCTTCTGTCTCCTCTTTCCCCAGTGTTTCCTATATACTGCTCCAGAATGCACCTCCTGAAACTCCTTTTTCAGTAAGCATGCCCCTTACTGCACATCACAGAACGATTAAGATCACAGCATAAAGTCTGAATTCCTTAGGCTATAAAGTCCCCTAAACCTGGTTATGTTTTTGTAACCCTAACCTTCATTTGCCCCCATCTCAATCACCTGCTTCAGTCAAGATTGTCTAGTCAGTTTCTTAAATGTGCTACAAACCTGCTTGAGCTCCCACTTATACCAATTCTCTTGTATAGAGATATTTCTCAAACTCTGCTTTTTAAAACTGAGATCTACCTGATAAAGTCAGTCAAATACTACTTCCTCCTGAAGGATTTCCCAACAACTCCAGCCATCATGCAAAATTCTCTCCAGGGAACACCTTACCACCCCTCTCTATTATCACTTGGCACTCACTAGAGAACTCTTCCCATTGTGAGGTATTTTTTTCATGCCCTCTAAAGTGCAGTATAAACCCTATGAGTGGTGGGATTAAGATTTTATAGTTCCCTGTGCCTTCAAAGCAACCCGTGTATGATAAAAGCACATTGTGAATGCTATTTAGCAAAAATTGTTTTTTATAAGGTTACAAAGATTGTTATAAAGACAGTAACATTTAAAAAGTCCTAATTTTTCTCCAAATGCATACCCTTTATCTTTAGCATGGACATCGGCTCCATGTTGCAGTAACAGCTGTACAATCTTCACTCTGTTGTATCCTGCTGCCAAATGCAATGGAGTTGACTGAAATATTAATAAAATACATTAATGAAATTCAAGTAAGGGCCAAATAAAACGTATCTAAAAGTAAAAAATCCTAATTAAAATCCAATTATAACTCAACTGCCCAAATATACAGTTATCAACTTGGTTTTATAACACCCACCATATACACTGAAAGCACACATAAAGGTTTAGAATTTTAGAATTTTACAATTACAATTCTAGCAAGCAAAGAAGGAAACATTTATTAACCAAGAAAGTCTTACTAAGTTTAAGAATTAATCTGGGGCGGGGGGTGAGCAGTACATGGCATGGTGGTTGGACTCCCACATGGCCAACCATGGTTCAAATCCCGAACCTGGCCACTTGAAAATCATGCTGGGTGCATATGTATGTGTGCCCGAAATACTGGGAGAAGAATGGAGAAGGGATTGTAGCAGGCCACCCCCCTGGCGGGTGTTTTCTCATTTTTCCTCTCTTGGTCTCTCCAGCAAGTGCACAAGCTCTATGGCAAAAAGTCCCAAAAAATAAAGGATTAATACGGGGCCGACTCTGTGGCCTGGTGATTATGGCATCCAGACCTCACATGGCCAACCATGCAGTTCGAGTCCAGTGGTTTGAAAAATACTTCAGGCATGTGAGTGTGTGTGCCCAAAATCTCAACAAGGTGAAGAATGGAGGCAAAGGAATTGTAGTGTGACTATGCCTTTTAGGGGTTACTTTCTCTCTCCCCATCTCTGTCCCTCTTGATGGAGACTGAACACACTTTCTGGAAAATTATATCAGTACTCTATTTATTAGTACTCAAACATATTCTAAATTTAATTGCAAAAGGAAATACCTTCCTGCCATCACTTGCGTGGCAATTGACATTTAAAGGTGTAAGCAGAGCCATCATTTTTTCCTCGTTGCCACTCCTAGGATGCAAAAAAAACTGTATTTGTAATTTGTATTCTTTATCAAATTCTACCTAAACACATAAGAAGGAACCTCAAAAAGTTTGTGGAAAAATGGAATTAAGGTACAAGGTTATTTGGTGAGGGGGAAAAAAGCTGAAATCAGGTAGCTCTGTGGAAGAGCAGTAATGTGCTGCTCAAGAGAAGCGGAGTTTTCCATAGTGACCACAGTTCGAATTCCTGGCCCAGTCAGCCTGAAACATGCAGTGCATGTCCATGAGCACACAGATCAGACAGGCAAGAGCAGGAAGGGGATCGTGGTGTGACCAGACTCTGAGCAGGGTGTTCAACTCTTTTACATGTGCAAAAAATGCTATACCATGCATAATGACAAAAAGTCTTAAAATGAAAAACTTTAAATCCACACACAGGTTTTTTGTAATATTATTTTCTATGAATTTTGAGGACCCTTGTATTATGACCACTTAAAAAAAAAACCTTTAAAATTTCCTTATTAATAAAACAAAGAAACAAATCTTTAATGCCGAAGTATTGATGGCACATATAACATTAGTACACACCTGGCACTTTCCAAGAGTTCATCTTTCTTATATTCACCTGTGAGATGGGGGGGTTTTTTTTTTGTCATATTTTCCCTGGGGGGGGTGGGGGGGGGGGGGAGAGTAGAAATTTAAAAATTGAGTTTTATGCAAAAAGATGCTCACTGCCTATAAAGTAAATAAATCTGGAACTAAATTTCCAATAAACAGAAAATGATTATTCAAGAAAACACTGAGGAATTTTAAAATATTAATATGAGCAATGTGGAATATATATGTTTGTTATGAAAGTGAAGAAAAAGATCACTTGATACTATACAATGAAGTGTGATCACAACTAAATCAAAACAACATGCATAGAAAAAAGAAAACCCAGAAGGAAATAAACCAAAACAGTAACAAAGCTTGTCTTGGGTATTTAGAAAGTTTTTCATTTTTTTTTTTTAATCTCCCCTCATAGTTCCTAAAATGAGCATGTTATTTTGGCAGCAAACTAATGTATTCACAACTTAATTAAAAAAAATAAACCAAGGGATTAGCAGATGGCATAATGGTTATATGGCTGGGTTTACACATAGTTGACTGCAGTTTGAGTACTGGACCTGGCAGCTTAAATTCACACCAGGCAAGTGTGCATACGTGCCCAAGATCCTGAGGAGAAAGGATTGAGGTGTGGCCATCCCCCAAGGGGTGATTTTTTGCTTTCTGTCTCTTTGTCTCTCACTGTCTCTCCAGTGAGTGCATGTGCCCTAGAGCAAAAATCTCTCAAAAAAAAAAAAAAAACCCGAAATAAACAAAACTCAATATATGAACATTATAGAAATGACAGCAGAATCTATAAAGCACTATTTAGACATAATCATTAACATCTTTATGAATCCAGTACATTTTTAAAATAATTTTTAAATTACGTTATTATTTTTAATTTTACCAGAGAGAGACACATAGAGAAAGAAGGAAAGTGAGAAAGCAAGCTGCCAGGTTCAGGAATCAAACTACAGTCAGACATGTGGGAGTCTAGTGCCTTAATCACCACGCCTCCTGTCAGCCCCAAATCCAGTAAATTTTTAAACACTGAGATTATTGTTATTTAATGCTTACAATCATATACAAATAGAAAAAATGGATTAAGTGTAACTCTTTATGTTTATGGTTTTTATATTTACAAATAAATAGAAACAAAACTATAAAATCAAAAAAATTTAAATTAATATAATGATTTGCTGAAATGACATACAAACTTCTACCCACAATGTACTGACTGCTAAGGAAAGGCTTCTTTTGAACCCCAAGACTTAAAAAAGATAACAACAGGGACCAACAGGTGGTGTGGTGGTTAAGGCGCTGGACACTCCCACATGGCCAGCCAGTCCTGAATCTGGTGGCTTGCTTTCTCACTTCCTCTTTCTTTCACTCTCAACCTCTGTCTCTCTCTAGTCTAATTAAAAAACGAATGAATAAAATAAAATAAAATAAATAATTATTTTTTTTTAAAAAAAGATAACAACAAGGTGAAAGAAGAGGAGCCAGCAGGTGGTGTGGTGAATGAGGTACTAGACTCTGACATGGCCAACTGCAGTTCGAATCTTGGACCTGATAGCTCACTTTCTCATTTTCCTGTTCTTTCTTTCTCTCCTGGTCAAATTAAAAAACAATACGTAAAATTAAATAAACAATTCTTACAAAAAAAGTGAAAGAAGAAATGAATACTGAATTGATAGTCACAACAAAAACTCACATTTCTAAGTCTCTTCAAGGACTGGTCTAAATTTTCGCAGCAGCACCAAAACATCACAAAGTCCAAGCATAAGCTATTCATAATAGAACCCTTTAGGCTCTTTTTAGATTAGAAGGGATTCCAATGGTCATCAGGTGACAGGTAAGAATTTGGTAAATAATAAAGCAGAGTTGCTTTAGAGGAAAGCACGCTGACAATGGAGAAAAAATGTGAAGTAGAGGGGCCAGCAGGTGATATGGTGGCCAAGGCACTGGATTCTCACATGGCCAACAGCGGTTCAAGTCCCAGACCTGATGGCTTGAAACTCATGCTGGGCACATGTGAGTGTATATGTGCCCCAAATTCCAAGAGGAAAATGGAGGAAAAGGGATTGCAGTGTGGCCATCCCTCTGGGGAGTAATTTCTCACTTTTTCTTTCTCCATATTGCTCTGTCTCTCTGGTGAATGCATGCTCCCTACAGCGAAAACTCTCTCCCCCAACAAAAAAATCTGAAGTTGACTGATGCAACTGAAAAGCTTCCAGTTTAAACTATAGCCTTATATATCTAGACAGGTTCCAAGGACATGAATGTTAACAGAGTATAATAATTAGCACTCTTCATGGTGCTGAAATGAGTGCGCCCAGAATCCTTTTGAAAAGTAACAGCATGGTTAGTGCTTTATGAAAGGATTTCATAAAAAATGATTAAAATACATCACACACACAAAAAAACAATATGTGAAAGGATAGGCATAAATTATCTAAAAAATTCAGGGATTTTTTTGTTGTTGTTGAGATTTTTGCTATAGGGTGCATGTGCTTGCCGAAGAGACACACAGAGAGAGACAGAAAGTGAGAAATCATCCCACTGTGGGGGATATGGCCATGCTGCTATCCCTTCTTCTACATTTTCCTCTCAGGATTTTGGGCACACATGTACACGTACCTGGTATGAGTTTTAAGCTGCTGGATCCAGGACATGAACCATGGTTAACTATTACATGGGAGTCCAGCAACATAACCACTATGCCATCTGCTGGTCTTCAAATTGAAGGCTATTTAAAAAACATTCTAGGGTCCAGCAGTTGGTGTAATGGCTATGTTGCTGAACTCCCATGTAGTCGACCACGGTTCGAGTCCCGGACCCAGTGGCTTAAACTCATGCTGGGCACGTGCACGCCCAAGATCCCAAGAGAAGAATGGAGAAGAGACTGCGGCACAGACACACACACACACACACACACACACACACACACACACACACCCGGGGTGGGGGGTGGGGGGGGGATTTCCCGCTTTCTGTCTCTGTCTGTCTCTTTCTGGTGAGTGCATGTGCCCTACAGCAAAAACCTCTCAAAAAAAAAAAAATTAAAACAAAGAAACAAACAGGATAGCAACACACAGTTATCTGTCACAATCTACTCCCATAAGGGAACAAAGATAAATGTAAACACAAATTTAAAAGAACAAATAAAAGCTTAACCTCTCTTAGATAAGAATCAAATGTCAACTGCCTAAATGTATCCAAGAACAGCTACTGACTATTCTAAAAATCTACAGCAGTTGAGGTCATTAACTGCAGGGGGCAGATTGTTTACCTAGCAAGCATATTCTTTACATTTTTCTTAGAATAGTCAAAGACAGTACACACTTACCAGTCAGCACTGCTTTGGCAGATGGGTCTGCTAAATCCAATGCTGTCCTTCCATCTGTATTTCGGATGGTTGGCTCAGCTCCATGCTGTAAGAGCACTATAAAATAGCATTAACACATTTCAAAATGGTAATCAGGACAACTTGACTTTAGCGCATCATTTTCTCAAAAACTCTGGGCTAGGCCTAGCCTGGTGATGCAGTTTGTACTGTGGAAGGCCATGGGGTGACAGATTCAGATCCCCAGCTTAGTAGACCTGAAATGTGGTGGGCACACATGCCCAGAATCCTGACAGGCTGGAGAGAGGGGACTGTGGCATGACTAGACCCACAACAGGATGCATTTCTCACTCCCCTCTTTTGTGTGCATGTATATATATGCTCTCTCTACTATGAATTAAAATAAATAAATAAATAAAGTTATGTTTTATCAATAGAAGCCCCAAAGTTGTTTAAAGACCTTTTCATATCCTGACAGTATGGTAAAGATTATATTCTAAGTGGAAGAGTACACAATATTTCATTATTTAGTGTATTAAAGACACATTAAATAAGTTTCTCCTCAGCAATGTGATAGTTTCCATATTTACACATCTGGGGACAAGTGAGTAGGGACAGATAAGAGTGTATAAAAAGGCCCAGGGTGGGCCAGCAGATGGAATTGAGGTAAAGGTGCTGGATCTCACATGGCCATCTCAACAGTTCATGTCCTGGATCTGGCAGCTTTAGAACAAGCAAACAAACAAACAAACAAACAAATCACACCAGGCACCGGGTACCCAAAAATCTGAAGAGGAGACTAAAGGAGAAGGGATTGCGGCATGGCTGCCCCCCCCCAGTCCCCATGGTGGCATAATTTCTCATTCTCTTTCTTTCTGTCTTTCTGGCAAGCACACATACCCCACAGCAAAAACAAAACAAACAGACAAAAACAAAGAGCAGCAGTGGCACATCTTGGAAGATGCTATGCTCCACAGGCTATGACCACCTGGGAGCCCTATGTTCAGTTACTGGTTCAACCTACAAGCAGGGCACAGTAGCACACATCTGTAATTGCAGCAAACTGGAAGACTGCAGTACGAGGACCATGAGTACAAGGCTGGCCTGAGCAACAGTGAGAAAGACCCTGTCAATAAAACAGACCTGGGCATGGAAGCAAGCCACCGTACTCTTACTTGGGAGGCTTAAGCAGGAGGATCATGGTATAGTAAGATCTGTCTTATGTTTTAAGTGGCAGATGGTGTGTACACTCAGCAATGAGAAACAAAGCACCTCCTCAATGGGATGTGGCCATACCACAATCTTTCCCTCCATCCGTCAGAATTTTGGACATGTGCAAATGTATGCACATATGCACATGTATGTACCCAACGTGTTTTTCAAGCTACTGGGGCCAGGACCGAAACCCTGGTTGGCCAAAGGAATACTAACTATATTACAAAGGCTGTTCTATCACAACAGAAATGAATGGCTAAAGCTACTGATAGTCTAGAAATAGATACCTGTGAGATTTAAAAAACAAAACACATGTATAAGTGCTTTAAAAATATAAAACAAATCTGGATAGCTTCCTTGCGTTTGCAATAAATTCTGTAAGGCCACTAATCATTTCCCTAGTTTTCAAGAAAGTTGAATAAATTAATCAGCAGGAGGAGAATGCTCAGATTTGTTCATTATTTTAACAGTAGGGTAAGCTAGTATAAGGAATGGGATAGGTGCACATTGAAACTAAGGTATAAATTGTTCCTTATACACAGACAGGCATTACCAGTTGAATAGTTAAGTTTTATGAAATTAATTATGCTATTCAAATATTCTCTGCAGGGTAATCAAAACTGTTGTTATATCTAAGGCACATACAAAGAGAAGCTCTGTGTCCTACTCTGTACTGTTATTTGTTACATAAGATATTCTAGCACACTCTATCTATAAATAAGAAGCTGGGGGAAGCAGGCAAGTACATGCAAAAAGAAAGCTAAACTCTTCTTTTCAGGGTTAATTTCCATTCTGCTTTACTCCTATTTACAATAGTGCTGTTCAAAAGAAGTAAGTATGAACCACAAATGTGAGTCACATATGTAATTTAAAATTCTGTAGCAAATGAGTTAAATAAGAAAAAATGTAATATATTTAACCCAATATAATAAAAATATTTAACATTTACACTTATAATCAATGTAAAAATTATTGAGCTATGTTACGTTCTTTTGGGTACCAAATCTTTGAAAACTGGTATATTTCCCCTTACTGCTAAATCACAAGTCCTCAGCTATCTTACTGTCAGGCTGGATAGTGCTGATCTGTATCTTTAGCTGGAAAACATTCCATATTAAGAAAACTAATTATTTACATGTCAAGACTCTGAAACAAGAAGATGGTTTTGTGCAAAGAGGATGTGAGCCTAGGTCAGTAACAATTCTTTTTTTTTTAAAAGATTTTTGCCATAGGGAGTGTATGCTCACTGGAGAGAGACAGAAAGGGAAAGTGAGAAATCCCCTTGCAGGGGAGGGCCATTCCTCCCCAGTGCAGACGGCCATACCACAATACTTTCTCCTCCATTCTCCTCTTAGGATTTTGGGCACATATGCACATGTGCCTGGTATGATTTTTCAAGCCACTGGATCTGGGATCTGAACTGTGGTCAGTCACATGGGAGTCCAGCACTTTAACCACCACGCTACCTGATTACCTGTTGGTAACAATTTAAGATAACACACAGAAAAGGAGAATTGGGAAGAGGTAACTAGGTAATCATTTTGCATCTTTAAAAATTACCTAATTTATATTGAGCTAGTGACTCTGGTATAGTGATCTGGGATTTGTTGGGTGTGGTGGTGACTCTGGTATAGTGATTCAAGATTTGCAGGGTTGTAGGTTGTGGGGTGGGTGCAGCATAGAGGCCCTGGACTTTTTCTTGAGCATAGCACTGATTTTCCTATCTGTTAAGGACGTCAACTGGCCCTGTTATGCATCAGTAAATAATGGAGCTAAGGTGGCAATAAGTCCAAAATTCTTGACCCTGCTGGGCTCAAAGAAATAAAAACCAGGTTAACGAAAATGCAAACATCTTTCTCACATATTGCTTTCTGTCAGTAATCACCAACCTGTCAGGCAAATTTTACCTTACCTGTTAGTTAAAGTAATCTAAATGACTGATAATTTTCCTTTCAAATGTTTCTCTATATATACTGCCATTTCTATTCTACAACAACCCTGTTATGTCCTCATCATTTCTCACCTGGGTTATTCTACGGCCACTCATTCTGCCTAGTCCCACACCAAATTACTGTTTCTAATATGAGGGGACTTAAAAAAGTTGTGGGGGAAAAAACAGAATTAAATTATGAGTTTAATTTTGATGTAAGCTTTTTTTTGAGATCTATGCATAATTTTCTCATGAACATGCATTTTCCGTGAACTTCTGAAGACCTCTCATATATACTACCCTCAACACACTGTTCCCTGCTCAAAAATCTTCAATGTTGGGACTAGCAGATGGAGTAATGGTTATGTCTCTGGATTCCCACACAGTCGACCGCAGTTCGAGTCCCAAACCTGGTGGCTTAAGATGCATGCTGGGAATGTGTGCCCATAATCCCGAGAGGAGAATGGAGAAGGGACTGCAGTGTGGCCACCCCCTCTTGGGGGTGATTTCTTGCTTTCTGTCTGTCTGGCAGCTGCATGCACCCTAGAGCAAAAAAATCTCTCTTAAAAAAAAAAACAAACCCTTTAATGTCCCACGTTGTTCACACAGTAACGATAAGTTCCTTAAACTGAAATTCAAGACCCTTTATAAAGAAGCCCCTACTTACCTGTTTACTTTCTACCTCACTACTTTCTGGAAATACTCAGGAATCAAGGACCCCAATTTGACTTGGCCAAGTCACTGTGCTCACTATTCTCCCATACTCTCTGCTTATTTCCACCAGGACCTTATCTGGTTCTTTGTTTCCCAAGAGAATGAAAATGTCTATAGAACAGGAACTTTGTACTCTATTCTCCAAAGAAATTTAGTCTCAGCATCATACATAAAAAGACATCCAGTGAATACTGATTAGAATCATGAAGTTCTTAAAAATTTAAATTTGGCCTGGCAGATTTTGATATTAACAAAGTAATTTAATTTAGATCCAGAAGTCACAATTTTAGGAAAATTCAGAAACGTAACCAGTCTTACCAATGCAAACATCAATCTTTCCTTTAATTGCGGCTTCATGGAGAGGAGTGTAATTCCAATTATCTCGAGCATTTGGGTCTGCACCGTGTCGCAAAAGGAGATTGACCACTTCAGCATGTCCAAAAGAGCATGCGTTATGAAGAGGAATCAGCCCGCCATCATCACGTGCTTGGACATTTGCACCATTCTGAAGCAAATACTCAACTACATCTTTGCGCCCAAAACCTAGAAGAAAACAAATTGTTCACATTAAGTTTGCCAAGGAAAATACGTCAAAATAGAACTAGTAAGTGTAAGTTATGCGAAAATGTATTTAGGATGGAAAATAATAACAGATTCAAGAATTACTTGAATAGAGTGATCTGAAATATATCACTAATGGTAAAGCCGAAGGTCTCTCTCCTAAATAGTAGTGGTAATTTAGTAGTGTCTTAGGTAGGTAGCAGCACATTAAACATAGAGAAAGATTATGTGACTGAAAATTCAAGTTCAAATGTTTCTCACTATATACTAGTACTTACACTGGTTTACAGGTTTAGGACCAAAAAGTTTTAATTCTTCATTATTCCCATAACCAGGTATTTTGTGACAGGGTCTCACTGTGTTGTGACCCTCTTGTGCCACCCTCCCAGCTAGCTAGTTAGGATTATGGGGATTCACTGCTGTACCAGGCACGTTTTAGGTTAGTCTGGGAACTAAACCCAGACTTGTCATGTGCCTTCCACACATCAAACAGAGTAACCTATTTCTCAGACAGCCACTGCTAGGTTCAGAATCTTCTTAAAATCATCAAGTCTGCATGTGGTTCTTCGAAAATGACCAGCATGGGAGCAGATAAGAAAGCAAAACAACAGTCTTTACCAAATCGCTGAGGCTGGCCCAGCTGCCACTGATGAAGGGGTTAAAAGATGGCTGAAGAGATTAACTGGTTTGTCTGAATACTGCGAAGCTCTATGGTAGCAGAGATAAGTTTCTTTGTATCTCTGCTTCTCCCTCCTCTAGAAGTGTTCACAATTTAAGACCTGAAGAAATCAGTAATTTCAATGCAACATAATTGTTTAGAAGTATATATAAAGTGCTACTAGCTAGAGCTCAAAGAAGGAAACATCTTTGGGGGAAGAATCAGGGACACAAAAAATGGAGAAGACTGTCCCAGATATTCCAAGGTATTCCTTGGATGACACTAGTGCTGAAAGTGTACAGAAAAACAGTGCATCATCAGGAGGACGCACAGGAAGGGTATTACAGTCCACGCAGAAGAAACAGAATGCACAGGCATGAAGGATGTAGTGGAGAGCGAACTGCTCCCAAGAGCCAGGGCACAGAACTATTGAGCATGCAGGTGCCAGATCAAGAAGAACCCTATTTGTCATCCTAGGTGGTATCTAGCCTTTGTCCCTCAAGATTATCAGAGTCTACGGTCATGTTTGCAGCTAAATATCCAATGCCTGGTAGACAGGCGGCACTCAGAGTTGCAAATTAAATGACCTGAATAAATTAAAAACTATTCTAGGTTGAATCATCTTTTTTCTCCTCACAAAGATCCAAAAGAAAATACCCCTGAGCCACCTCTTAAAAAGTTTGGAAAATGCCACTATAACATATCAGTAGTCACTGGAGGGTCTGTGGAGGGCAGTGAGTGACTCCATTACATTTGCTTTTACAGAAAGAGCACCCTGGTGGCTGTGTTGATAAATGGATCAGATGTGGAGATACAAGGGTAGCTAAATGCTTAGGATTTAATTTTTTAAAAAATTTATTCATTCATTCCATGAGTGAGAGAGACAGAGAAAAACAGAGATAGTGCACCCCTGACAAGGTCTAGAAGTTGCCATCTATATCCAGCCAACCAGGATTGTGGGCACTTGCATGCCCAGCACACTCAAGGAGGTCTCCAGATGCAAAGTGGCAGCCGTCTGCCTTACAGAGAGCTAGCACCTTGCTTTACCACTGTTCCACTTTCTAGCCCCTAGGTCCTTAAGATTTTAGAATGGCCCTGGGGTCAGCAGGTGACACAGTGATGGTTAAGGTGCTAAGACTCCCACATGGCTGACTGGGGTTCAAGTTCCGGACCTGCTGGCTTGCTTTCTCCCTTTTCCCTTTTGTATCTCTCTCTCTCTCTCTCTCTTCAGAGATAGTGCACCCCTGACAAGGTCTAGAAGTTGCCATCTATATCCAGCCAACCAGGATTGTGGGCACTTGCATGCCCAGCACACTCAAGGAGGTCTCCAGATGCAAAGTGGCAGCCGTCTGCCTTACAGAGAGCTAGCACCTTGCTTTACCACTGTTCCACTTTCTAGCCCCTAGGTCCTTAAGATTTTAGAATGGCCCTGGGGTCAGCAGGTGACACAGTGATGGTTAAGGTGCTAAGACTCCCACATGGCTGACTGGGGTTCAAGTTCCGGACCTGCTGGCTTGCTTTCTCACTTTCCCTTTTTGTATCTCTCTCTCTCTCTCTCTCTGGTCGAATTAAAAAAAAAAAAAGTGTAATTAAAGAAATAATCCTTAAAAAAAAAAAAAAGATTTTAGATGGCCCTGCCATAGTCAATGTGAGAGATGAGAACCAAAACTAAGATTGATTTTGGTGATTAGGATATGCTATATTCAAATATTTCATGTGAACAGGATAGGTAATAGTCACTTGGTTGGTAGAAAGAAGGGGTATATTAACCCCCCATCCCTTTGAGAGTACATACCCTTTGGCAACAACAACAAACCCAAATAATAATATCCCAGAAATTAATCTCTTATCATTATTCATTTTTTTGATTGGAAATTATTAAATTTTGCTTAGTTTCCATTCTCACAGAGAATCAGGTTGTTTGTAATTTTTTTGTTTGTTTTTATTTTCAGAGGACACATGCGAGACAGAAAGAGAGAGAGAAGCACCCCACCAATGGGGTGTGTGTTTTTTAAACTGCAGGGGCTGGGATCTGAAACATGGTCAGCCAAGTGGGACCTACCCACCTCCTCATGTACACAGTACTTAACTTCTGTTCTATGGAATCAGCTCTCCCATCTTCATTTGTTTGTTTCATGAGAGTAAAAGGGGGTGGTGGGGTAGAGAGAGAGAGAGAAAGACAAGCACCCTTGACAGGGTCTCACTCCTCAGACAACCCAGATTAAGGGCATATGCCTAGAATATGCAGGCTGACTGAGGAACCATACCCCACATCTTCCTTGGAATGCAGCCCTGCCAGATCAGTGTGCTACTGCTGTGGCACTGAGCTGGCCCTATTTCCAACCGTTGACTACTGTACACACTGCTGCCAGGAATAACTGAAGAGGGAGTAGGAGAGAAACTGGCAGGGCCCAGTGACTGACTGGGTGAAAGGAGAGAAGGTCTAAGAATGATGAGCAGATGAGACAGAAAACACAGGAGGTTTTGTGGGTAAGATCTGATTTTAGAAATACTCAGTTTGTGGTACCTGTGGGATAAATGCCAGTAAATAGGAAGTTCTGTAAATGTTGAACTCAGGAAATTGGTCTAAGCTGAAGACACAGATGATGCTTACAGAGACAGTATTTGTGTATGAATGAAGGTGAGTGAAATACAAATGAAACTGACTAGAAAACATTAGTTTTCTACCTTGTTCTGTTGAAAGAAGTCCATTTTCTATCAATGATCAATCCCTTCTCACCATGTACTGTAGTTGTTTTCACCTTAAGGTCTGCACCTCTCTCCTTCCAATTAATTTCTTCCCCTACAATATCATTTCTAAAGGAATGTAAAAACATTCCAGTACCTTCCATTTTATAAAAAATATTCTCCCTAAACTCACATTCCCATTTCTCTATTCCCCTGCATAACCAAATCTGTAAGAGTTATCTCCTATTTACTCTTTGAAACTCAATCTGGCTTCTGCTTGTTCCTCAAAACTGCTTTCAACAAGATTACTTAAAATTTCCATATTGCCAAATCAAAAGGACACGTGTGTCTTCACTTAACTATACCTCTCAAAACATCTGACAACTGACTACTTCCTCCTTCCTGAAATATCTTTTCCAAAGTTTCCATGATACCGCGCTCTCCTAGGTTTCTGCCTGTCTCATTCATTTATTTAACAAATGATCGGGAAATATCAACTATGGGCCAGCACTTTTCCGGGCTCCTGAGACATACCAAATTCTTGCCTTTGAGGACTCCTCTTCTGTGAGAATGGAGATGTACAATAAAAAATAATAAGTATGGGGGCCGGCAGGTGGCATGGTGGTTAAGGGTGCTGGACTCCCACATGGCCGACCGTGGTTTGAGTCCCGGACCTGGCAGCTTGCTTTCTCACTTTCTCTCTCTTGCTCTCACTCTTGCTCTGTCTCAATATGGTCAAACTAAAATAATAAAGTTAAATAATTTTTTTTGAAGTATGTTAGAAGGTGATTAGGCAAAGAGCAGAATAGGGTGTGATCAAAGTCTGTGTGTACAAGAGGATGTAAAGTTGAACAGGGTGGCCACATAGGCCTTCTTGAGGTGTGACAACTCATTACAGGCCTAAAGGAGATGAGGAGCCTTACTAGCTGTGAGTAAGGAGGCTAGAGTGGCTGGAGCTGAGTGAGAAAGCATTAGGATGATAGAGAAGGTCAGAAGTAATCAGGCCAGGCCAAGAAGAATTGAGGGTCACTAAGAACTTTGGCTTTTTTAGTTGTTTTTTTCTTATTTGCCAGAGGGCATGTGTACTTACCAGGGAGAGACAGAGGAGAGGAGAGGAAGAAAGTACCCCTCACGGGGGAACAGTCACCCTGCAATCCCTTCTTGTCAAACTCTCTATCCTGTAGAGATCATGGGTATGTGTGCACACAAGCCTGCATCTGGCATGTCCCTCAAGCTGCTGATGCTGGGATTTGAACTGTGCAGTTGGTCATGTGAGAACCACTCCCTTGACTACCAATGGCCACAGGCTGGCCCTACAACTTGGGCTCTTTTTCACTCTGAGGGAAATGAGTCACTACAAGGTTTTGAGCTGTTAAGTTACAGGATATGAGCTACGTCTGAAGAGTACAGTCTGGCTACTGTGTTGGGACTAGACTATAGGGAGTTACTGGTAGATGAGAGATTACAGTGGCTTGGACTATAATCTGGTGGCATTTGTCAGAATAACGGTAACTGGCAGATTATGGCTTCTATAGAGGTAGAGTCTGAATAGTTTTCTCCTGGATTGGACATGGGGTGAGGGTAAGGGTAAGTGAGTAGGAGAGAGCAAGGGAGAGAGACTGAAGAAGGACTCTTG